TCCTTGTTCCCAAACAAAGCTCTGTGCTCGTTTTCCGTTACAGAGGAGTCCTCTGCGGAGAATAAACTCCCTGTCCATTAAAAATGCCAGTGTAGCAATGATTGCCCTCAAGTGCCCTGCCATGCAGAAGCGTGAGCTCCCAGCTGCTCTTAGTGAGGCGCGTAGACACCTTAGGAAGATGAGGGGCAGTCATCTGTCCGCACGGGGGCTAAATTTTTTCAGTCTGGGTCCCCTTTGAACTCAAAAACTACAGAAGGCTTCTAGTTCCGAATCCAATGGACCTGCCGCCTCGAGGTTCCCCAAGCTATTAATGGACAGTGACAACTGAATTTAACTGCTTTTCACTGAGCTCAGAGCCCTGGCCTGAGTAGAAATAATCCTTTTATGTCCCAATAAAGGAGAATTACCGACGTTTTGTAGCTCAGCTCTCTTTGAAGCTGGAGGCTTTGCATTTCCTGCAGCGATCAGATGAAAGGGGCTTTCAGAGATGTCGTCGGGAGAGTAGCGGAGGGCAGGTAGTTGATTATATTGTCACCCAGTTGTCCTGTGCAAAGGACTGCTAGTTTCCATTTTAAACGATTTCCGAGCACAGGTGTCAGTCATTCCGAGAACTTTCCTGAAAGACAACGGAGTCTTCAGAGCCATGCTGTTTAGGGGCCAGCTGTTACCCGAGATCAGCAAGTGGGGACACACTGAGAGAGGATAATTGGGTTTGCTATCTTCTTTACCTCCCCCTAGGGGGATCATCACATCCTGGTCGTTCACGGATGTGCACAATCCCTATGCAGGTAACAACACTGTATAATAGGCATCCACTGCAGTAATACCTTCTGCTCCTTCCATAAAGGCAGCCCGTGTGCCTCCTGAAAGCATGTGGGAAACTCATTCATCCCGCCTAATAAGGGAACTGACATTTCCAGCATGGATTTTGGCACCTTGCGTATATTATTGCATTTTTATCCTCAAAATAGCCCGGTGAGCTCGGTATTCTGCGCCTCATTTTGTAAATGGAAAGATTGAAGCTGGGACCCTTAGGCAAGTTGCCTAAGGTTACCAAGCTCGTAATTACTGGAGCTGGAGGGTGTGTTCAGGGCTGATCCCAAAGTCTGTCCTTCACAAGATAACGGCCAAGGACCGTGCAGTCCAGCTCATGGTCGCCCCACATGTGGCCAAGCAGACCCGTGTCCCCTTGAGTTCTCCGTGACGGGGTTCTACTGGGAAGTTGATTGCCAAGGCTTCATTCCGACCGACATGCGTCTGGGAGGATTGGACCCTCCAACCTTTTTGTTTAGCAGCTGAGTGCCTTCACTGTTAGTGACTAAAAACAAACAAACAAAACCAACCCAAATCCATAGTTGTTGAGTTGACCCTGACTCATAATCACCCCACTGTCTTAAAGAGCAGAGCTGCCCTACAGGGCATTCTTGACTGTAATCTTTCCAGAGTCGATTGTGAGACCTTTCTAATAGGGTAAGACTGGGTTAGAACCACAAATCCTTAGGTTCGTACTCAGGCAACAACTCTTTTCCTCATCCATGGACTCCTCTTTCCAAGATGAGCCTGCTGCTGGGCCACTTCAACTCATCATTGTAACACTTTAAGACAGGCCATCCTGGGCTCACATGATTTCTGCGGCTGTAAATGTTCACTGAAGCAGACAGCCTCATTTCTCTCCCAAGGAGCAGCTGGTGAGTTCAAACCACTAGCCTTTGGTCTAACACTTCACCCACCTCTCTGCCACGGTTCCTTTTTTTCAAGGTTAAACCAAAGCCACTGATATGGGGTCAATTCTAACTCACTCGTGGTGACCCTACAGGACAGAGTGGAACCAGTCCATCTTTATGAAAGCAGACTGCCTCGTCTTCCTCTTGAGGAGATGGTAGGTTTGAACCACTGACCTTTTGCTTAGCAGCCCAACACTGAACCCACAGCACCACCAGAGCCCCTTATTTTCCTGATCCCACCCCACTATCACTGAGTCAGTTTCATCTCATGGATTTCTCCTACAGAGTGACCAGAGAATTCGAACTGTTGACCTTGTGGTTACTAGCTCAATGGATATTCCACCAGGGCTCCATTCTTTCCCCGATAGCTCTCGCTATCATCAAGTGGATTCCAACTTCTGATGACCCCATCTCTTTCCCAGATAGTACCCTGAAAAATCAGGTTTTCATAGCATTGACACCATTGACATTTTGACTGGGTAATTCTTGGTTGAGACCCAGGAGAGGTGAATGTCCTGTCCTTTGAGCTACTTAGCAGCATGCCTGGCCTCTCCCCACTGAATGCCCATAGTATCCCCACCCCCGTTGTGAAGATGAAAAATGTCTCCAGTCATTGCCAGAGGTCCCGGTGGGAGCAAAATTGCCCCAGTGAGAAACCGTGCTGCAAGTGTTTCCCATGCTTCCTGACACCCGAGGGTTTATGGTTCTATGAAATGCACAGGATAATTTAAAGGCTCTAAGACAGCCTAGGCGTAACCTTACAGGATATACTTTAAGAAATATAATTAGCATTTCAGGGGGGGTTGCTCATAAACAGTCCCTGATTCCTGTTATTGCTGATAACAGTTTGTCCTTTCCAGTAAGTAAATATTCACACTGTAAAAATGCTCAAAAGCCTCCAGGGTCTGATGCTGCCTCAGGAATTCTGCCCGGACTCCTCACAAAGATGTTCAAGGATTTCCCAGTCTGGCCTCAGCTCACCTCGCTCTCAAACCCACGCACTTTATCAACAACAGCCAAGCCAGATGACTCACCATGGAGCAAGCACATCCTCCATTTGCTTGTTTCCATGTCTTAGCTAAGAATGTGCCCTCCCCCTTAAGAAGTCTTTCCCAAGTGCCCATCACTGCCTTGTGGGGGCCTCCCCATCATGAAGGCATTAATTGGGGCCCATGCATTTCCCATGAGGCTATGGACCAGTCCTTGCCCTCTCCTCTGATCCCCCCAGTTTGTCTGTCCCCTTCGCCCTGACTACTAGAGAGAGTGTGGTCTTTCCTGCTCAATTGAAATTTCCTGGAGAACAAGAATCTCTTTTAGCCCCTTCTCAAAGTCCCTATCAGTGACACTGTTGCTCGCCTCAAGGTCAATGGTTCAAACCCACCAGCCGCTCTATAGCTGCTAGGAGTTGGAAATGATGGACTGGTTGCCAGTGGGTTTAGCACTCAGTGAGTGTTTTTCGCTTGTTGGAGTGACTGCTCTGCGTGGGTGTTGAGAGTGGATTGAATGGAATGAAGAACACAGAGGTAAATAAACTTCAGGCCAGAAGCCCTGGTGGTGCCGTGGCTAACGGAAAGGTCTAAAGTTAGATCCGCCAGTGGCCCGATGGGAGAAAATGCCTGGTGATTTGCTCTCATAAAGCTGGCAGAGTTGGAAGCCCTATAAGGTTGCTGTGAATCTGAATCAGCATCAGCTCGGAGTCAGAATTGACCAGGGGCGTGCAACAGAACATCTGCAGGCCAGGTTCCATGGGACTTACGAGACATTTCCAATAGGAAATTGGAGGACGCCCAATGAGCAAATTAGCTGGGCTTTCCAGTATACAACACACACACACACACACACACACACACACACACACACACACACACACACAGAACTGTGTGTGGAGTAGCCACCTTAGGGCTCTGACCAAGGCTGCAGCCAGGGCTGTGTTGAGCCTTCCTCAGTAGTCCCCAGAGGGGTGAGGCTGGAATCCTGTCCAGTCAGAAAAAGGGCACCTTTTCCTAATTTTCCCAAAGGGATCACATGGTCTGGAAGACGGTCTGTCAGCAAAAGCTTTTCCACAGAATCCAGGATGCCACATGCAACATTTTCATTCCCAAATGTGTTATCATTCGACATCTTTTACTAAGAGAGAGCACCAAATTCCATCCACCCAAGTCAAGCATTGCTTTGGCCTTGGTTCTTAACTAGCCAAAGGTCGGCATAAATTCATTCAACAACCAAACCAAACATCCACAGGCATCTAGTCAATTCAGAACCACAGTGACCCTCTAGGGCAGAGTGGAACCGACCCTCAGAGTTTCTAAAACTGTACATCTTAAATTAACGAAGGCAGAAAGCCTAATCTTGCTCCTAGCAACGCTAGTGAGTCCGAAAGGTTAGCAGCCCAGTGCGTAACCAACTAGGCCAACCAGGGACTACTTATCAATCAATCAATCACCATGTGTGGAGGACCCAGGAGTGAAAGAAAGTATTTATCTGACCTGACATCATATTCTATTCTTATATGACCCCTTTGAGCATTTCATTATTAGATAATGATCTCATGATTATTATTAGATATGTACATATGATTATTAACCAGTTGTAATCAAGTCAATGCTGACCCAAGGTGACTGACTCTGGGTGTATCCAAGTAGAACTGTGCTCATAGGGTTTTTAATAGCTGAGTTAGAGAAGTAGATCACCAGCCCTTTCTTCTGAGGCACTCTTGACTGCATTAGCTGTTTGTACTAACCAAGAACACTGGCTAAAGCTATACCTGGCTCCAATGTGGGAAGTTTTTCAATACCTTTGGTTAGGGAACTCCAGACAATTAGTAAGCAAAATTGATAGCTTACTGGTAGAACTCTTACTTCCCATAAAGAAGACTCAGGTTCAATTCCTCACCCATGCACCTCATATGCAGCCATCATCTGTTACTGGGAGCTCTCGTGTTGCTTTCATGCTTAATAGATTTCCTCTGAGTTTCCCTACTAAGATGGACTAGGAAGGAAAGCCTGGTGATCTACTTCCAAACATCACCCAGTGAAAATAAGTGGATCGCAGTGATCCGAGTCAAAACTAATCATGCAGATAGTACAGGACCTGGTGTCCATTGTGCATGGGATAGCTAAGGGGAGGGAGCAAAGTCAACAAGAGCTACACAACTCCATTCACATGGCAGCCGTGGACCTAACTTTCCATGTTGCCATCAACAGAAACATTTAATGTCGTGGACAGATGACATCCCAAACACTTCCTCTGCCATATCCCTTGTGTATCTATCTACAGATGGAAAACTGTGCACCAGTTACAATCGAGGGCTCATCTCAAAGGCAAAAATCAAGGCCATCAAGTATAGCATCGTCATCATTCTCGGTAAGTAATATCTCTGCATGCCTTGCAGAATTGGGTGAACATCCCGAGCAAACTTGTACCTGGGGTGCGGTGGAGGACAACCTACACAAGGAAAGAATGTGTCTACTGACACTTCTACTTTACTGGATGGGGAATGAAAGTGTGGGGCCTGATGGCCCACCAATGTCTCCTTGAAGGGCCAACATTTGATTCCCAATCTATCTCTTTTTTGATATACTTGTCTTTTAAGCCAAGGAGGAGATCATTTGGGGAACAAATCTGATGAAAATGTAACTAACTGAAGCCGACATCCATCATGGCCATTTGACCCAGTGATCTTTAGACACAGTCTCCCCCAGGGTTGACCTTGATGGACAAAGGAAAGAGAGAGGTGGCATTCCATTGGACAGTTCATTGCTCAGAGGCTAGAAATGCCTCCCAAATGGTCAGCTTGCTTCTCTTTCTCCCTCCTGTCTTCTGCCCTGTCCTTTTTCTTTCTCCTTCTGCTTTCAACCCACGAATTCACTTCATTGCAGAAGGAAGGGGGAAAACATTTTTTTTTTCAAGATCACCAAATAGTGTCAGATTGGTGAGTGTTCTTGCTAGTCTCAAACCTTCAAATCTTCCTGCACCCTTAGCCCTCTCAGCGAATGACTCTGCTTCTTACGTCACTAAAAAAAAGATTCAAGTTTCAGAAGGGAATTTTCTCATTCTCCCACCTCCACATCCAGTTCCATGGCCGCATGTCTGACACCATATGCTTTGATTTTTTCCCTATGACTTTGGATAAACGGTCTCTCCTTCTCTCTGGGCTCAGTCTGTTCACTTAAGCTCCAGCTTCCATTCTTTCCTTCTTATTTCTCCAGTCTACCCCGGGGTCCCCATTTCTGGCTCATACACTCATACAAATCCTTTAACATCTCCCCCCGAGTCGCTGCACTTCATGGCTGTCTTTGGAAGTGTAGCCCCTCCACATGGAGAAGGCTTGACTAAACCCTGGATCCACCTTTCACCCCTCATTCTCTCTGGAACCTATTTTAAGTTACCTCTCTCCCCCAAGTGAAATTACTGGGACCTCCAAGATGCCAAAGGTTGAGTCTAGATCTTCAGTTTACTTAACTTAGTATCATCTGGCCCATCTCTCCTGTTCAAACATCTGCTTTGCTTGGAAATAATATCTAGGATGTCTCCTTGAAATCTCTCCTTAGAGATCTTGTAACCCCATCATATCCACATGTCCAAAATAGAAAACTCCTTTTCATTTCAAAACCATGTTACTGAGAGCTAATACAGATAGTATGCCATCCCATAGTTCAATCCCGTCAAACAGTAATGTACAATGGCTATCACAAACAGTTTCATGCATTTTCTTCCTTCTAGAACTCCTTGATGTCAGCTCTGCTTTACCCACCCCACCCCCCATCTCCCCTCCCCCCATTGCATCTTCCCGGGACCCTTGTTCTACCCCTCATTGCGGTCTCTATGGGTTCATCAGCCCTGGGTTTCACATACCGATAAACAGAAAAACACATAACAAAACAGAAATGTTGGTATCTCTGCTACCCCTGCAAACACAGTTCTTCCTCAGCTTTCTCCAAAATAACACCATGTTCTACCCGGGGATCAAGCCACACACTTCAGGGCCATCAGAATGATTCTGTTTTCCACACACCCTTCACCCAGTCCATCCGCAAAGCTTAGCTACTCTACCTTCAAATCGCATCCCCAATCCTGCGGTTTCTCACTATGTCCAGAACCACTGCCCTGACCGAAGCATCGGTCATCTTCTTCCTGGAAAACCACAACTAGCTGGCCTTCTTGTTTCTCTTATCCTATATCCTATATTCTCCTCAAAGTAGCCAGGATGATCTTTTAAAAATGTAAATCAGATCCTGCCCCTTTGCACACCTCCCTGGGATGCCCCGTGGCGCTCAAACAAAGCCTGCAGGTTCCTTACATGTTCTTCAGGGCCCCAAGAGACCTGCCCTCCCACCCCGTCTCCCACAGACTCTCCCATAAAGTTCTTCCACCCTAACTCTGTCCAGCTCTCACGGGCCTCCTCGCTGTTTCTTCAAAATAGCAGCTGATCTTACCTGGGGCAGCTCGCCCCTGAAATAACCTGCCCTCATAGCTAAAGTCCTCCTCCTGATTCACTGCCTGCCGCCTCCCCAGAATGGCCTCCCTGATTGCACTCTAAAAATAGACCTCTTCTGGTCTTGCAGTGCCTTAGTTTTCTTCACGGTGCCTAAAGATGGACAGACATTGCGGCATAGATATTGATTTGCTGATTCTCTGTCTCCTCTGTCATAATAGTCAATCTATGAGGGCAGTAACTTTTACTTCCCCCTAGCTTACACTGTCCCCAGGGTCACTCCCTACCCCCGCCTCTCACGCAACTAGAGGCTCAATCAATTTTTGTTGAATAATCAAATGAATTCAAATAAGCAATGAAGAAAAAAAAAAGTGTGCTATTTTCTTTTATATAACGCCAAGCCTGCTCCTGCTAGTTCACCTCGTATCTCTTGAAAACTGGAAAAAAACATCAGCTCAAACCTCTCTCTCATGTTAGCTGCATGTCAAATCATCAAACCAGTCAGTCACCTGCCTAACAGACAACCGCAAAAATGCCAAGCAGGCCCCTTGCAGCCCCGCGCAGCCAGTGGGCTGTAGGCCCGGAGCACGGCTGCAGACAGGAATGGAACAAAGCACATACAGCCCTCAGGGCAGAGGCATCTGAGGCAGATCTAAGATGTCCTTCCGTCCCAGACAGTCATTTGCACAGATGCACAGTCCCTGGATGCTGGGTTCAGAAATGTGTGCTTATACATGTGTTCCTGAGCCAAGACAGCCTTTCTCATGAGAAGCCATAGGCCCAGGCCCTCAGCATCCTTCCATCAGCGAGCAGGGCTGCACACCAAAGGGTCAGCCATGCCTACAGCCCTCCCCAACCCAAAAAGACCTTTTCTAGAATGAATTCTTGACAATGCCCTTTACCATCCTGAAATGAAATAGATACACTTTACTACCTAGCCAGCATAATTCTTTCTGAATCAATATACAGCTCCAATGATAAAGAAGGACCAGAAGGAAATGATTTATGATAAGATAATACATATTTTACTATGGAAATCTAGTTCCACCTGAAGACAGAATGGAGCCGTCCGATGCTTGCACCTAGACAGGGTACCAGCTCTGAAAGACGACAAATGCAGGTGCATCTTCATGGAGCCACTCAAAACTTAAGCAGCACTGCTGCTGGTGAGTGGATTTTCTGAGCAGGTGAACAGATGGGTGAAGTTCCTAATTAAACAAAGTCACCTTTCCGTTTTCAAGAGAATGGCATTCCTGGTGGGGGGAGGGATTGGTATTTATTAAAAATATTTTGGCTCTTTATATAAAACACAAGCTTCTGGACATGGGTAATAATGAACAGGTTTGGCCTCTCCCCCTGGATGGATGTTCATTTGGGCTCAAAGGATGTATGGGGTGCGGGATGAATCCTTGCTCAGTGGAATTGCCCCCACAGGCGTGTAGAAGGATGGGCATCCCTGCGTCAAACAACCCCGATGCTCCCCACCAACATTTGTGCATGTGATTTATTTATTGTGAACTAGGGGGCGGGGGTTATACCCCAGACCATCCTCTCTGCCTCCCGTGATTCAAACCACTCGGCCACCCCCTTCCCTGATTGTTCTTCTCCCTCTTGTGGCCCTCCATCCTCCATTGCACCCAAGACCTGTCATCCTCTACTCCCTCGCTCTCTCTTCCCCCGCGCTCCCACAGTTGGTGACCTCCGAAGTCTGTTCCCTTTTATATGCAAGTCTTTGCTTGGTGTTTTCACCTGATAATCATCATCTAATATAATACTGTATTCTCCTTTTGCGATCAACTGATTTCACTCAGCAGAAAGTCTTCTGTGTCTATCCATGCTATGAGGTGTCGCACGGTTTACTCATGTCTGGCATTCCATTGCCCCACACACATATTTTCAAAATATCTCAAAAGGCAATTTGTCCCACCATCTCTGCTTGATTTCACTGGGCTAGTGGTTCTCAACCTGTGGGTCACAATCCCTTTGGGGGTTGAACAACCCTTTCACAGGAGTCGCCTGATTCATAACAGTAGCAAAAGTACAATTATAAAGTAGCAATGAAAATAATTTTACGGTTGGGGGGACACCACAACATGGGGAACTATATGAAAGGGTTGTGGCATTAGGAAGGTTGAGAACCACTGCACTGGGCTGCTGTAACAGTGTCAAAGGCAGAGCGGCTTAAAGCAGCAGAATGTTACGTCTCTGGAGGCTAGGTGCCTGAAGTCAGGTTACTAGCAGCTTGGGTTCCTTCCGGACACTCGGAGGGATAATCTGTCCGCACCTCCCTCTTCGTCTGTCGTGCTTGCTGACAACCTGTGGCATTTCGTGGCTTGAAGACAGGATTCCGTCGTAGGTGGTCCTCTTCCCGTGTATGCATTCAAGCTCCCTTTTCTTCTGAGGGCCTCGGGCATTGGATTTGGGCCCATTAGGAAGCAGTAAGACTTCACCTTCATTCGATTCTGTCTGTAAAAACTCTTATTTTCAAATCAGGCCACGCTCGCAAGTTCTGGTTGGATATGACCTGGGGGAGGTTCTATTCACCCCATTACCCTCTCCCAGCATAATTGTTTTAGGCCAACACTGAGATGCACCCGAGCGGACAGAGTTCCACAGTCTCCGTGTCTGAACTGCTCACCTCCAATGTGCTGTCATCATCAGGGAAGAAACCCTGTGTCAGTCAATCCATGATGGAGGCAAGTTTGCCCCTGTCTGCAGTGATCGAGGAAGCCAGACTTCGCCCTTGCTAAATAAAGAGCCTTAGGAGGAAAGCCAGGGAGCTCGCATGGTGGGGAGGAGCGGAGGGGAGAAGTGGGGTTTGTGTGGGCGTCCAGTGCCTCTCACGGGCATTTGACTATGGACATCCATTTCCCACTCATTTCCTCTGAGGATTTGGAGCCAAACAAAATTAGAGTCCACCTCATGCAAATCACTTTGAACACAGAGGCAGTGGTGGATGGTGTTTGCTGGTGGCCAGCTTAGAGATCGAAGTGAAAGTTTAGAAGGTGGCAACGAAGCCTGACTGTGCTTGAAAACACTGATTACTATCTGTTCTCTTGGCCACTCCGGACAATCTGGAGTTGCTGGTGTCAGAGATTCCTGGGATGGATCTTCCCAAAGTGTCTGCAATAGATTTTGCCCACTCTTTCCTGAACTGTATTTGATAGAAGGCTAAGGACATACCCAGATTTCCCTGGCTTTCAATAAAAACTACACAACAGTAGGAACCTCATCCCACTATACAGCTAGAGAAGCTCCACATTGGTTTATGAATGTATCTATTAAATATGTGTGTGCATGACATCGTGTTAACCTATACCTAATGATAAACACTGTACCCAACTCCATAGTTTGAGAGACTCCCTGGTACCAAAGACCTTGCAAGACGAGCCCCAGTCAGGTTTGGCTGAGGAAGCCCTTGGTGACACTAATGGCTCTCTTCTTCTCCAGCCTTCATCTGTTGTTGGAGTCCGTACTTCCTGTTTGATATGTTGGACAATTTCAGTGTCCTGCCAGACACCAGAGAGCGCTTCTATGCCTCTGTGATCATTCAGAACCTGCCAGCCTTAAACAGTGCCATCAACCCCCTCATCTACTGCGTCTTCAGCAGCAGCATCTGCTCTCCCTATCGGTAAGGGGCTCACTCGCCGGGGTCCAAAAGAAGCTGTTAGCCTCTGCAGTCAGACTCATTCCAAACTTCCTGGAAGGTGACATTATCCCTGTTTGAAAGTTGAGATACGTGAGAGTCATGAAGTTTCGATTAGGTGTCCAGGATCACTTCATATGACACATTCTCACCCAGGTCCATGCCAAGGCCATTGCTTTCTCTGACAGTGCATCACTTCCAATGACAACCCTCTTACTTATGATACATTCAGAGGACCATCTCCGTTCAAAGGCTCAGCATGAATTGTCTCAGTACACTGCTGTGGTACTGGCATGACAGGGGCATTTCACAAATAACCAAATTAAGGTGCAGGAGATTAAGTAGCATTATTGAAGTCATATGACTATTTAGTGGCAGAACCACAACCGGACCCCTCTGACAACCATTTAGTCATTTTGCTGTTGTTACAAGGAGTTTCCTATACAAGCTACGGTGGATAAGTGATGAAATCAATAGGAGGTAACATAGTAGAATGGTTTAGGGGTTAGACTCACTGCCAGTGACTGAAGTTCACGTCCTGCTATTGCTGATTGATAACTGAGTGACCTTGGGTAAGTTATTTAACTTTCATGACAAGGAGGCCATTTCTTCAAAGTCAGTGGTGCTAATAACAGCTCCTACATCTTGGCCAGTGATGGTTCTGTTCATAGACTTCTGGTGCTGACAGGTGAGAACTTACCACCATCAAGTCGATTCTGACTCACAGCAACCCTATAGCACAGAGTAGAACTGCCCCTGTGGGTCTCTCAGACTGTACCTCTTACAAGAGTAGCTACAGTAGACTGTAACTCTTTCTCCCGCAGAGAAGCTAGTGGTTTCGAACAGCTGACCTTATGGTTAGCAGCCCAACATGTAACCACTACTGCATCCCTAGGGCTCCAACTAGTGGGAAGGAGAGGTGTAAGTGATGAGGAAGGACAGGGCAGGTCGATTTTAAATATAAACTTCTTTCATCGGTATGGTGCCTGATCCTAGTCTCTTAATGACTATTATTTTGAAGACTCTTACTTCTTTTTTCATCAAGCCAAATCATTTTTCTTCCTTGCTTCATTCTGACTTTCTCTAGGGAACGGAGATCACGGGATTCCAGAATGACCTGCCGAGAGAGAACTGAGAGGCATGAGATGCAAGTTCTGTCCAAGCCAGAATTCATCTAGACTCCGGGGCAGTGGTAATGCTAGGCTGGTTGCCATCGCTCTCCTGGCTCCTCATCAACAGCTTGGGCACTTGCATGGCACCTGAGCCCTCCCATTCTACTCCTGTGATCACTTGGAGCTAGCTGCATGAGGCAAACTCCTTATAAGCATGTGTTTGCTACTTCAGCAAGTGCTGTCCAATAGAAAGTCAACAACTCTCCAAGCTGTCCAAGAAAGACAGCGCTCCTGCCTACCACAGCCCTTAGCCCTACTGGTCAGCACCATGACCCAGTGGACAGAGACATCACCGACAGGAGCTACAGACTGAAGCGCTGAGGGAACAAACAAGGACTGGAGAAAAATGAAGCCGGGTTGCATGTAAGGCTTCTCATTATAATTCAAGAAGTAAATTGCAGACTTTGCTAGGTCTAGCTGTTTTAATTGCCCCCCATTTTTGTGGTGAGGGTGCAGTCGTGTAGCCAAGAAAATGTTTGTCCTTAAAATACCAATAAATTCATTTTCAGGCATTGGCTTCTTCTCTGTCCACAGCCTTGGTTTGCAGGTGGGTTTGTTGTCGGCTCCCAACCTCTCATTCCCATTGTATCAGCAAATAGTTTGTAGGGGGAAAGAGCGTAATGTCTGGCCCTCCAATGTACAGACAAATCTGAGGATTGCTTTCTCTGATAGGAAATAAAAATAAATAAATCAAAAGAAAGCACAGTGCTAAAAAGTCATGAAGCCCTGAGCTCCAGTCTGAATGACCAGACCTGCCCGTGCAGTGCCCCGAAGTCTCTTCCCTCTGAATTCACTCTGAGAGCTCTCTGACCACCATTCCTTCCACCTCAGGGACACACTCTCTTTTGATCTCTGAGAACCTTCTTTCTTTGAGGAAGTGAGTACCCATGGCTAGTGCAGCCATGATGTTTACCCTTTTGGGCAGTTGTAGCCTTTGTCTCTTTCACACCTTGGCTCGGAAGCACTAGTGCGACTTGTTTTGACATGCCTGGATCGTGGTATTTATAAGCGCAATCCCAGGGAAATGTGACTAAATGTTTTCCAGTCAATTTTAACCATCATATTTTTCCATAAGTGGAAGTGGAATAATTTAATTTGATTATGTGCACATCCCCACCCACAGGTCTGAGATGTGCAGGAGCACCTTATATTTAGCTTCACATACAATCTCAACATTAAAAATCTCCTTGGCAAATCCTCCCTCTCAGGATTATTCAAAGCTGAAATCTCTCCCTGCACCCCTTTCTTGGCCTTCTGCTAGTAGTCATTAAAATGTTCAGTGTACTTTAATAGCACTCCATTTCTCATTATGGTGTCAACCCAAAGATGGCATGTTTAAGGTCACAGTAGCATTTTTGCCATAACCCCTCTTTTCAATTCCATCTGATTTCAGGGCAAGTATCTCTTTAGGCAGGAATGAGCTTCCTCCATTACCACCTCCCTGAGAGGTATGCTCTGAATTTGAAGAACCAGAATATTCTAGTTTTATGTCTATACAACAGCTATGAAGACAGCTTCCTTCTCAGTCGAATGAGCTAGACTTGAGCAATTCTGGGAGCTTTGAATGGTGAGAAGTGGTTTCAAAATCTCCCTTTAAATCAAGAGGTGCCACAGAAGACGCAGAAAATCGTTGTTAAACTAGCTGCCTGCATGGGAGCCAATTAAAGCAGAATTTGGCAAGGATCCTAGACCATGGAACAGAAGGCTTGGGTTCTCTTCCCAGATGCTTTCTGTCTCTGTTACACTCCTGGCTGCAAAGACTTTACTTGCCTATCTCACCCCTCGATGCATTCAGAGTGTTGAAGAGAATGTCAAACAAGGGGCTTCATGGTCTTCAAATACTGTGAATAAAGCGTTGTTGTTATAATGGAATCTTTCCCATTCCTGAAGAAGACTGGAGCCCAGGAAGACAATGAACTGCAGAATGAACTGCCACTACAATGAACCATTCTTTCTGAGAGTTTGGATTCTAGAAATTCCATTTCCATGCATTGGCTGAGCTTGGTGGGACATGGTTTGAAAATGATGAAAACACTAGAAATGACTAGTAGAGGGTCTTCAACAAACCACTTAATCTCTTTGGCCATTGGTTCTTTGACCTGTGAGTTGGGGCCAGATCAGACTGTTGATGTAGATGTTGAGAATACCTTCAGAAAAGAATCTGCTACAACTGTAATGATTTCAATGATAGCCCCAAAGTCAGAGCTTCTGCAATTCTTTCCCAGAAAGACAAATGACACGACTCAAGGCTGACTCTCTTTGTCCTCCAGAAAATGTGGTTTTCCCATTGAACCATGAACTCTGGGGCACACCTGATTGCCCAGCTGTGAGACACAGTTCGCACTCTCACAGAAAATTAGGAGCTTGGGGCTGTGAAGTCACTTTCGGTAGCCTCTGACATTCGAGTGAGATCAGAATAGCCAGCAGGGTGCTCTGTAGAATACAGCAGCTGTTTCCCACACCAACGATTCAAGTAGGTCAACAGTTACATTATCACACTGCTTCAGGGATATGTGAAAATTGAGGATAACAAGAGTAGGTGTGCTTAATATAGTCAGCCACTCCACAGCAAATAAGTGTTTCCAGTTTACTGAACTAAATGAAATATCAATGGCAAAAAAAACACCAAAATCTTGTCTGCTTTCAGGCCTTATGTAGCCATAACTTAATTGAAGTTTCATTTTACCAGCCAACATTTTACATTGCTGTCCCCAGGGAAAGCTAACTGTTTTTAATGGCTTTAATTTATGATTAATTGTAAGGAGGAAAATGCTTCTTTTAAAGCAGAGGCATGTAGTTTAATCCCCACCCCCGTAATTTCATCTAACAACATAATTCACATACATAGAAATGAGTTTATCTCTTCCATTGCCAACTGAGGTGTCAAAAAGAGACACCTAGGTGGGTGGGTCAGCTGAGGAAAAGAGAAAATAAAAATACTTTTAATGAGAAAGAAAGTGAGTCTGTTCTTCCAAAATAGTATGAGGTAGCCACAGACCTGCTGGTTTCTCCTGCTTCCCCACATCATTTGAATACACCTCATGGGATGTGCAGGTGGACCAGTGCTCCCAACAGTTTTACTGCATCTGATTGAAGAGATGGTTCTAACTGTTAAGGTGCCAATCATCTGGCTTTTGGAAAGCCCTGACCAGCCCATGCTTTATTTCTCTGCAATTCCATTTTAAGGATATTTTCTCCATGCAGAGCTAGTCCAGTTAACATTTTAAGAGTGCAATTTCAGACTTACAGAATGTTAAAGTGAACCAAGCCTTAAGATCATCTCATCAAATGGGTTTCCATCTGCTCGGGGAACCCAGAGCAGGCAGAAGGAGGCAGCTGGTTGTTACTGTTAATGCACACAGCAATAGCATGTGAATCTAGAGAAGATTAAACATAGCCCAATTGTTCCAAGGGCCTTAAATTTCCTGCGATGGGAGTTCAATGTGTATTAACTTTAGACATGGACACTGCAAGAATACATCATACAGGTGTAGGGTGTATCCCTAAAAGAACAGAAATAAAGAAGCGTTATCACTTCCGAACTGAAAAGGGTTAAAAATTGAACCACAAAAATGTTTAAAAGAAGGCCAAGACTATCAAAAAGTATAGCGTCTGGGGTCTTAAAGGCTTGACGGTAATCAAGCGGCCATCAAGCTCAGAAGCAACAAAGCCCACACGGAAGAAGCACACCAGCCTATGCAACCACGAGGTGTCGAAGGGATCAGGTATAAG